TCTTTCTGAGGCTTGAAAATGGCTTGTTTTCTAAAACATGCAGTACTCATCCCTGTATATCTGGGAACTTACCAGTTTGATGGTAACGATTTTTTTCAGTGATTTGTCCTCAGTTGCAGCTTATTGTTGATTCTTTCTACTTTGACTCTTCAAAAGAAACAAAGGACAAATGCACCATTTCATCTGTACTTTCTCCTTCATTTCCTGCCTTCCATGCATAGAAACAAAAAGAGTATGCACGTAACACGATCTCTGTATTAACAATATGACCTGTCCTGCTTCCCTTTATCCCATAAAATGTTGTCAATCTGAAATTTTCTGATCATTTTCATTCATCCTCACTTTTCAAAATTCTCTTCTAAAGAAGTACTCTAATATTTATCCTTTTTACCATCAACTGACATGCAGCTACACCCACCCCCTTTTCCACCATCCCTACCCCGCCCCTCATCCCACTGCCCTGCTACCTGTGATCTATTAGAAACACCCGTGGCCTGCAGTCAGCATCTCTGGGGTTGGAGTTCTGTTTTTTTCTGCTAAAAAGCTTTAGAAAAATTTCCATAACCAGGGATTTTATTTCTTTTTCATTTTTGGTACCGGGAATTGAACTCATGACCTTGCACTTGCCAGGCAGGCACTGTGCCACTGAGCTATATCCATGGCCCTCGGGGATTTTAAATTGAGCCATCAGCATCATTTTGACAGCTTTTTAACTGTTAAAGCAGAATCTTGGAGACTAGATGGATGAGCAGGCACACAAATCTATTTTGTGGGAAGTTTTCATAGATGAAGCAAATGAAGACTGAAGTTTGGGGTCGTGGATACGTTCCTAGCTTGTAAAATGCATTACAGTGATACTGTGAAAAGTAAATTAAGCAATGTATGGCAAGGGGCTTTGTAAATGAGAAAATCAAATGCTAGGTTGCTTTAATTAATATTTTTGTGGAGTCCAGAGTAAAATAAGCTCATTGTTATTTCTGCAACAACCATTACATACACAGGATGAGGAACAAGAACATCAACATTAATGATGTTCTATAATGTTCACAGTACAAAACCTCAGAGGAAACCAGTACATAATTTTGAAAGGGGTTGAAAACCAACTGACAAAATGCCTTTGCTGTACTTGAAAACAGAGCACACCAAAAATAAATTTTACCCATTCTGACTTCTTGAATTACGTCGTCTTCACTGTGTGAATCTGCCTCTCAAATGATAGCACAAGTTGAAGACAAACTAAAGAAAGAAAAATGATGTGCAAATATCGGTCTCTCCCTTCCTATACCTAAGTTGTTTCTTGGAACCATATTAGTAGAGATACTAGAGGAGATTTACTGATTCCCCTTTTGGGCATTTTACATTGCAGGGGGAGAAGTGGTGCTCTAATAGCCTGAAAAAATTACTGCAGGAAATGACTTCTGCCCTAGAGAGTATCTGAGTCATTATAATTTCCAGGATAAACCATTCACTACAACTTTTAAGTCTCCAGAGGGTTTAATCTACTTAAGCTAATGCAAGCAGAGGGGCTGGCAGAAGCAGACTGTTACTCTAAAATGATTTTAATTGTCATTTTGGGGAGACCATAGGCTTTACATTCAATTCATCATAGATGTTTAATTTTCCTCTCTCATCAGAATGAAACATTTGAAGTACGCTTTTCCACTCTTGGGAGAGGATGGGGATTCACCTAGTAAGCTTGTAACCCTAATTCATAACCTATGATTCAGAGGTCAAGCTCATTAACATTTTGCTGCATCTGGAACCTTTTCCTCCCTGGTGTCTTAGACTTCTCTGAATACCTTTCGCTCCATGTGGAACTGTCACCCTTGTTTCTCAAACACCAGATTGTTTGAGGCCTTCACACCATCATCCACGCTCCTCCTGGAAACTCCTTTAGCAAGCTCTACTCACACCTCAGAACTCAGCTTCAGCATCCTTGCCCCTGGGAAGCTTTCTAGCTCCCGACCCGACTTCTAGCTGCCCGTCCTCTGGGAGTCCCTAGCATCCTATGTAACCTTCTGCCTGGCACTTACCACGCAACATGGTAAAATCTTTTACCATTTTCTGAGCTCCCTGTCTCCCGCCACTGTATGCTAAGGTCCTCCACCTGGACCTCCTCCACAGCACTTAGGTTGGGGGCTGGCATTAGTAGGTAACACAGATACTTGGTTGAAGGAATAAATGAGTGAAAGTGAATGAATAATACGATCTAAACATGCGTTGCATGAAATTTCAAATTATTTTACTGTTTGCAAGTTATAACTGCATATTTTCTAGTTTTTTGTACAGCCAAACTTTTTTTTAAGTGGGAAAAATTGAACCTCATTTCTCTGGTCATCAAGTAGGTGATACAGGGAGTCACTTTGGATGATTTTCTTGTTCTCTGAAGAGTCATTTGAATTGTCTTTTTGAGATAGGGTCGCCCTATGCAGTTTAGGCTGGCCTTGAGCTCACTTTGTAGCCCAGGCTGGTCTCCAACTCAGCAACGATCCTCCTGCCTCAGCCTCCTGAGTACTGGGATTATAGGTGTGCGCCACCACACCAGGCCCTCAAATTTTCCTTATAGGTTAAGCAAATGTAAGTCAAGATTGTCTGCCTATAGACAAGGATAGATGGAGAACAATCTCCTTTAGTACCCCACATTCCAAGAAGGGGTGAGTTGATTTATATAAGGATCACTGGGCTTTGGAAGATCTACCGGCGAGCCAGCACAGCACTGCACAATCCTCCGGGGCAAGGAAGTAAAACAGTGAGCCTACAATAAACCTTGAGGACAGAAAGGCGTGAGAACCGTTGGACGCACCCAGCACTGAACTGACAGAGGCACAACAGCAGTCCTGAATCAGAGACAGCAGGAACTCCACAACCCAGCTTCAGGGCCTATTTGCCTCAGGCAAGCTGCTATGTGAGAATCAAAGCTGCAAGTCACTAATACCTGTAACAGCCAGGGAGCCAGGCCTTCTTTTGGCATGGAGCTTCTTAACAGAGGGCTTGTGGACACCCTCATGTTTGCACCAGCTGTGTCTCCACACTAGCCACAAAACAGAATGGGCCTAGCCCCTCGTCTTTCTCCTACTTTCCCTCCTGTAACTGGCTGTGGACACCACTTTCCACAGCTGTTTGCCAGGGTAAAGATTGCAAAACCAAATGTAGGACTTGATTCCCGGCACTTTGGGCAGTATGAGTGGCTATGTGATCCAACTCTGGTCCAGCTATTTCACACAATGAAAAGTTTCCAAGGGGAATGTTGGTTTAGCCTTTCTTCTCATAAAATAAATGTATTTGGTACCACCCTCCCTCCTTCTTCCTATCTTACATGCATGTAGATACTTGAGCTTCAGAAAGCATCTTACAGTTAGGAGGGAACAAGCCATTTCGGTATGGATAGGGAAGCAAAAGAACCTAGGGCATTGCTAACACTGTGTAGCTGCTGTTATCTGTAGGCTTCTTACCACTTAAGTGAAACAAAACCCCATGTGCCTAAGCTACTGCTGGATTATCTGCTACATGGCGTGAAAGCGTGCTTAGCTGACACAATGTTCACACCTGTGGTCATACTTATCAGACACCTGTAACCGGAAGTGCTATCTAGTCCCGTGAGGGAGGTGGCCCTCCGCGGGACACCTTTAGTGCACAAAGGTGCTCTAAAGCACCACACTCCAGGATGACAAGAGGGTGCTGTTTCAGCCAAGCAAAGGGAACTGTAAGTATAAGGAAAAATTTAAACACCTGCTAAGTGTTAAAGTCCAGTCTTGAAGTGCAAGCCCCACTTCAAAAAGCAACTATGGATAATGATCAAATGGAACAGATTCTTCTACCATTTCTCTCTATTCATCTCAGTGTACTAAATGTGGATGAAATGTTTAGCAGAGTTTAGTGTTATACATGAAAAGTAAATTTAATTTTTTAAACTGTATTTTAATATAGGTATTATTTCATAGGGACATTTGATCTATTTGCCTGTATTTACTAATACCTCAGATTAAACTGCTCTCTTATCTTGCACTATGTGTCCTATACGCTCTGTTTCAATTATTTTGAACTCCAAAAGAAAGAAGCGAAACATTTAGAAGGTCAAACGGAAACCAAATTGGTATCATTTGACTCTGTAATTGGAGTTGGAGGGAAGTGAGGCTAGTTATTGCATTTTTATATCTATTTCCATATTATAAATATATATTTCAAATTTTTATTTAGGAATTTATGACTGTGCAAATATGAGAATCTTTCTTACAAAGGAATCAATCTTCAAGATGACAATCATCACACTTTAAGCCTCAACACTAGTGAGCAGTAGTCTCAGCAATGAACAAATTAAGCTGTAAAATTTTAAATAACTTACTGCATGGCTAGAGACTGGAGACTCAAAGATCCTTCTGTCTGAATCCAAAGTCTCTTCTCTAACCAGCATGCTACACAAGTTTCAGTTCCCAAATGTCTCTGGATATGCTGGTGTTCTCAATTCTGCTTAAAAATTTTCTTTGAATGACACTTTTATGTGTTTTTTTTTGTTTGTTTTTTTCCAGCACCGGGAATCAAACTCACAACCTTGCACTTGCCAGGCAGGCGCTGTGCTGCTGAGCTAAATCCCCAGCCCCTTGAATGACACTTTTTATTAGACTATATTTGCAGAGAACATCTTCCAATAACCACACCCCCATAAAGTACTTTTAGGAATAATAATGATTTTAGCTTCTTATAATATCTAAGTAGGGATTTAGTTACTGTTCACATTTGTCAAGACCATCTAGGGCCAGTGTGTCCTTAGAGTCCTATCCTGGTGACTTTGGGGAAATGGCTGAAATGCACTAATCACTTTCAGGACAACCAACCAGACATTCGGAAGGAATTCTGTGATACCAAGAATGGGGTATCTGGTTATGATGTATCTCAAACAAGGAAATACGTTAAACGTGAGGAAAGTCACTCTTCAAAATGTAGCCTTCATAAATGTACAAGATATTCACATGAGAAACAGAAAACCCAGGCTGCATTTAACGTCAGAGGAAATGAGTGCTTTATTTGATTAAAAAGCTGACGTGAAATTTTGCCCATTCTAAGTCAACAGGACTGTCTGGAATATTTCACTAGACTCCAGATTCTGCATGTTTTTTTAAAGCTCTTTCGGCCTATGTAAGAAGGTGACCCTAGGTTATCCAAACGAAATCTTGGGTAGGCTTCCATTATGATAACTTAGTAGGAAAAAAAGACGTATTTTAAGAGAATGTGACATTACCACCTGCACCCATAAGGTGTTAGAACATTAATCCACTCTAAATGGGAGAAATGCCTGAATTATCAGCTTATTCAATAACAAGTACTAGGTCCTTAGTTTGATGTCATATTCA